TAAATCAGTAGAACAATAGTATGAAATCTAGAAGATCCAAGAATCCCCAAATGTAAGGGTTTGAAAAGACCTCACATAATATAATATGTAATATAGCATAAAATGAAATATAACATAACATAAAAAAATATAGTTCCACCTCTTTATTTTCAGGAAAACTGAAACCCTGATAAGTGAAGTTATGTTTCCAATATAAGTCATATAACTGAGGGTTATAGATTTGACTTTAACATGGGTTTGACCAATTAGTGACAGTCACATGCCCTCAATAAACCTAGCTTCCATTAGGATATTTGTAATTTTCCTACTTTGTAAGTATATCTTAGGAATATGGGAGAGTATATTGTATGCAAATGTTTTGAAGCTATTCAGACGAAATTCTTTATATGAATGTGGACTTCTCAAGTTTTCAGTGTATAACTATGTAGACAGTTATATTAGATGTTTTCCAACACTGGATATAGTGGACATTGCATTTGAATATGTTTTATTAAAAAAATCCCAAATTTCATGCAATATGTGTGCTAAATGTTGCTGCAGATCACACATTTAAATACTATATCAATGTTGACTTTTATAATTCAAAGAGAAACTACACTCCAAACAGTGATACTGTCATCATATATCCCAAATGAACACTGGAGCATATACTTAAAACCAAATGAGAATCAGAAAGAATTTTCTGTTTGGTTTCATTATGACAGATGCAGGTATATACTGAGGAACTCTGAATTTGTTTGCTGGTAACAGATGTTCATTTTCTTGTCTGTAGATTTTTGCTCTGGAGAGAAGTAAAAGGAAATAGGGATGGCTAAAGGGCAACAATGACAAATGTAGGAAAAGCAAATCGAAATTTTCTCAAACTAATGATTTTGAGAACCATTTGCAAGGCTGCCACAGCTCACACCATAGTATTTATCCAAAGCTGCATATCCTTAATTCATGTGGCTATAAATTCACTGGGATTGAAATAAATTGAATTTTTTTTTTTAGTGTATTGATTGGGTTTGCTGTTTCTCTCTCCCTCCCTTCCTCCATCCCTCCCTTCCTCTCTCTCTCTCTCAAAATCTTTATGAGAGACAACTCTATAGAAGGGATATAGTAGGAAACAGGCACTGTAAAAACAAAAGATCAATAAAATGTAATAAAAAAAGAAACATTAACAATTTTTAAGAGCAGCTTATGTGTTTTTGCTCACATTGGATCCTTTGCCCAAAGTTAATTCCCCTAAGCTGATGTCTCATTGACTCTAAAATCCTATCCTTTTTTAAAAACACAGATACCACTTCTTCCATGAAACTTTTCCAAATAATTAAAGTGGAAAAATCCATCCCTTCCATTTTTTAAACCATCCACATTTTTTGGTGGGGTGGGAAAGATGGTGGCACAGAGACCATGGTCGGAATCTATGATTTCATCAATGTAAGGGACTCCTGGTGTGGAAACTCTCCTCACTGATGCAGATTGCTGATTTATTTTACATGATACTCTTATTTGTACTTGATATTCTGTGGGGTCATTCAGAGGTTATGTAACTTGTTCATCATCAAATAGCCAACATATGCCAGATATGAACTCTGGTCTTCCTGACTATAGGACTGGCTCTATATACTATACCAGATGTATACTTATCCTGTTTTAATTTGTATTCTATTTACTTGTATCCATATTATCTCCTTAGTAGATTTTCCTAGGGCAGCAATCTCATCCAGCTGTTTTACCCTAGCATAATTCCTTGTACTTTGTAGGCTGCCATTAATTTGAATAAGATTATAATTACATCCAGTCAAAATTTAGTTACTAACCAGGGAGATCTTCTTTCCTGTTGTTACTAAGAGATTATAAAAGAATTTGAATACTACCCTGAATACTCAAATCCACTCTTACTCCTTCCGTCTCCCATTCCTTACTCTTATTGTATAAGACACTTCTTTTGAGTGACTTAGATCCAACTCAGGCATTGATCAAGATATGGCCAACATGTAGAATATAAGCTCCTTGGAGGCAGGCATGGTTCTATTTATGTCTTTGTATCCCCATTGCTTTGCACATACTATGCATTTAATAAATGCTTATTGGGTTGGACTGGACCAATATTATCTTTATGAATTGCTTATTTATTATATGGTATATATTACACACCACATAAAACCGGTCTTGAAATGCTTCACTAGATGGAACTAAAGTGGCCACTTCCAGAAGTTGTAAATTCAGTTTAGATGTTTTTTCCTAGAGTATGTAGGCATTTTCAGAGTATTATCTAAATGTAAAAAAAAAAGTATGGTACTTGATAAAGATAATTTGTTTTTTTCTGGAGAAGAAGTTTAACATTAACATCTGTGACACCTATATGATGTGTTGGGTTTTTGGTTCTTTTTTATATTGAAGTCCTGAACTTAGCAAATATCAAGTAGGAATTGAGCATTCACACATAAAATATACAATGAGGGAACAAAAGATTGTGCATGAAACTATGACTATCTGTTATATGCAATTTGTTTTTCCTCTTAAGTATGTCATAAATTCAACCTGTAATTTTTAAAGATGTTCTTCTTGGCTTTGGTTCATTCTGGACTTTTAACAATTTTCTTCTGTATATTAAAATGTTTCAATGATCCTTTTTTTTCTTTTTCTTATTTATTGACAACTATATTGCTAATTCTCTTTCCCAACAACATTCCTCCAACACATTAAACAAACAAAACCCCAAATTTTGTAACAACTATGTATAATTAAGTAAAATATATTTCCATATTGGCTATGGCCAGAAATATATATTTCCTTTTGAACCTTGAGTCCAGCACTTCTTTGTCAGGAGGTGGACAGCATGTTTCATCATTAGTCCTCAAGGTGTTTATCAGAGTTCTTAAATCTTTCAATTTTTTTTCTTTACATTCTTGTTAATGTCTTAATGAATTATTGTCCAAGTTCTGCTCACATAACTCTGAGTCAATTCATATAGTGTTCCCTGCTTTCTCTAAAATGATTTTATAATTTCTTATAGCATAAAATTTTCCTTAATATACATATACAAAAATTTGTTCAGATATTATCTAATTAATAGATACTCTCTTAATTTCAAGTTGTTTTGGCAACCACAATAAAAAGCTGCTATAAATATTTTTGTTCATATAGATCCCTTTCTACTTTCTTTGATCTCTTTGCAATATAGATGAGTCAAAAGACATGCATAGTTTATGACTTTTTGAATAGCTACTTTCCAGAAGGATAACCAATTCACAGTTCTATCCATAATATTTGTTTTCCCATCTCTGCTCCACAATAAAAACATATTTTGCTTTTTTTGTTATTTTTCCCAATCTTATAGGTCTGAGATAGAAATCTAGTGTTGTATTAATTTGAATTTATCTTATTATCAGTGATTCAGGGCATTTTTATATAGGTATTGATAACTTGCACTTTTTTTCTTTGAGAACTTCTTGTTCACTTATTTTTCCCGTTTATCTATTGGTGAATAGCTTTTGCCCTTCTATATTTAAATCAGCTCCTTATATGCCTTGGATATGGATTCTTTATCAGAGAAACTTGCTACAAATATTTTTTTTCCAGTTAACTATTACCATTTAATTTAATTTGTTTGTATATAAGCTTTTTAGTTTTATGTTATCAAATTTGCTCATTTTATCTTCTCTACTCCTCTCTCTCCCTTGTTTGGTGATGAACTCTTCTGCTAATCATGATTGTGAAAGGAATATTCTTATTTGCTTGTCTAATTTGTTTATGATGATACCTTTTATATCTGTCACGTCTCCATTCAGAGCTTTTTGTTGTATAGAATGTGGGATGTTGGTCTTATCCTAAATTCTGACAGGCTGCTTTCTAGTTTTCCCAACAGATTTTGTCAAATAGTAAATAATTATCCCAAGGCCTGGGCTTATGTGTTTTTAACTTACTATGGAAGAATTTTCAATAGACATATAGTCTCTTGGGTCTTATTTGCTCTTAAGTAACTTTTTCAGTTAAAGTCAGATCAGAGGTCAATAGTTTGAAAATAACAATGATAATAGCTAGCATTGATATGTCAATGTAATGTTTGCAAAGTGCTTTGCAAACAGTATCTCATTTTATCCTGATAACTCAAAGTAAGGTCCTATTATGCCCATTTTTGGATGAAGAAACAGGCAAACAGATGCTAAGTGCCTTGCTCAGGGTCACATATCTAGGAAGTATCTAAGGCCATATTAAAACATAACAGCCTTTCTCTGTTTTTGAAGAGATGACAAGAATTCTTACACGTACTATGAAGACAGTAATAATTGTGGCTTCTTGATACTATGGTCAGTAGAGGAAATTATTTTGCTAAATGTTTTCTTACCAGTATATTCCCCTCTGCCCCCAAACTACCATTTAGTAGTGAATATAGTGAAATGAACTTGGTGCTCCATGGAATAAAAGCATTTATAGACATCATTACTATTAATTTATAGCTTCTTTATGCTCTATCTCCATCTTTGATACCTTCTTCTATGCACCTATCCTTTGATGACTTTTATGCTTACCTTGCATTTTATTACTGCTAAATATTTTTTAAATCACCTCTTTAATCCATGTGCTTTCTCAGAGTTTGTCTTGTCTTTTAGGTCTTTCCAGATCATAGATTACAAACTCCTTAAGGGGAAGGAATGTTTTGGCTTAATTTGATCTATAGAAATTTAGGGTAATAGGGCATAATAGATGGGATAGTAGGTAGTTTGTAAATATCTTTTGGATGATTTTTATAGAAGATGGCCCCCAAATTAAAAAGTGTTAGAGTCTTTGCTTAGATGATGCATTTATTATGAACTCCTAAATCCTCTTGGCAAGATCTAACTCTGCATATAAGTACATAATGGAATACTACAGTGGTTGCAGATTATGATCAGAAAACTTGAGATCAGTATTTTGGCATGTGTAAAAAGCTATTCCTTAATGTTAATTCTTACTATTGCTTGGTATTTCAATAATAATCACTAAATTCTTCCTTTTCTTTTATTTTATAGGGAACAGTCTGCTGAAGACCTTGCCAGAGTACCAGCTAATTCCACAAGCAATATCTTGAATAGACTATTAGTCAGTTATGATCCCAGGATCAGACCAAATTTCAAAGGTTTGTCTCTATGAAGGTATCTTCATCCTTTGAACCTTAGGAATTAAATCCACTTATAAGTGTAATATAAGAATCTGTATAAAAGATTTCTCAATTGGAAGGAAGAATGGGAAAAAAGAATTTCATAATGATTTGGAATTGGCAAGTCATATACTCATATCATCCCCTCCAATTTGCGTGTGTGTGTGTTTTCCCATAGTAAGTGGATACTTATAAGATTTAGGAATAAAGTTTAATTAAATTCTAGTGTTGGAGGAATAAAACTAACTTATAGGCTAACCATGTTAAATTAGACTTTTTGAATTCATAGTTATATTTCAGAGAATATGATTTGTCAGAGAATTTGCTGTGGCAAGCAGTCTACATGAAAATAAACCATATTAAGATGGGAGATATTTTTTAAAGTGCCTTTCACCTTTTATGGGGAGGAGAGGAAGAAAAACATTAAAATGTTTTAAACAGAAAAGCAAAGCAGCCTGTATTAAATTTATAAACACCTAATTCCTTGAATGAAAATGTACTAATATAATTAAGACCTCACATTATTACTAAATGCATGCTAATTTGACTATAACTAATATTGTCCATCTGCTTTAAGATGATAAACATCTCTGTTAATGGATGATAGTTAATGCGTTTGTTATGTACTATTTTTAAAAATCTCTTAGCTTTTACTTTGAAAAGATATTTCTTCATTACTTCCACCAATCATTCTAGCAACTGTTGTGGTATTTGTAAAAATGACTTGCAATCTTAAAATACTACACACACGGACGCACACAGACACACATACATACACACATACTAGCTATTATTATAATTATTCTACTGGGCCCCTTTACAACTTATAAAAAATTAACTGAGGATAAGAGTGTTACCACATTTTGTATAGCAGATCAATATTCATCCTACATCATGACTGCTCTGATGTGTGAACTCCTTTTTACAAATACGGGGAAACTATAGGTGAGGAACTCCAGGTAAGGAACTCCGTCTATCAACACAGATGAGAACCCCTCTATGACTTAGATTATAGGTGATAAATTTAGAGTTAGAAGGGAATTTGGAGATGATCAAAAGTTACCTGATAGACCAAGAAGTTAAAACACTTGCTCATGGTCACAAACCTAGTAAATATCATAGTTAGGCTCGGAAACAAGGTCTTTACAATTACAAGTCTAGTACAGCTATCCACCATGATGCCTGCACCTAGGTATGAATAATAAAGAAAAAGGAATGAAGCATATTTTGGTTTGTATAGAAATTACATGTTACTAAGTAAATCACAGGGGAAAACAAAAGCCCATTTCTCCTTTCTAGCTGCTTGGTCAAAAAAATACTACCTTTGTGGCTAAAATGAAATGAGTTTCCTACAATCAAGATTTGTTTCTCTTCTAAGAAAATCTTATCCCTACACCTTATGAGAACTAAAACCATACTTGTCATAAAATAAAATTAAAGTCATGAGCAGATTGTGCAGACCTTACTCCTGATGATTTAGAAATGAAATATATGAAAAGGCTCCCCTGGAAAACACTAATCCCAGTTGTGCAGTTAAGGACAGGTATGAACATATATCAGATTAACATCATAAGGTTTTTTCATCCTTTACAGAGGAAAAACAGTCTGCAGCTGCTTTGAGTCAACTAAAGTTACACAACTCTGTTGTAAAAATAAGGGGTTTTGTTCATTACCGGGGCCTATTCAGTTACTTTCAACATCAGCCATGGCCTGGGTTGTCACATGTCCACCATAAACCCATTCACCACCTGTTTTTCATCAGTAGGTGGTTATATGGTTAAAAGGCCAACTGCACATTTTCCCTTTGCTCTACTCCCCCCTCTAGCATTACTCCCTCCCCAATCCACCAGAAGTCAGCAAAGCAAAGAGAAAGGGGGCTGCAGCATTATTGTAATAGTCCTCCTTCTGTAAACATTCTTATTTTTTTTCTTTCTTGAAAATGAGTAAGCAGCTTCATTGTGAATTTCATGTAAGTCTGATTTCCTTTTTAAAAAATTAGTCATAGTTTAAAGAAAATGGTTTATGATCAGCATCAAATACAATGATATTTCTTCTTTCCCCATCAAAGTAAGTTTCCTCATATGGTTAAAATGCCTATATTGAAAATGTTGATAGCAATATGCAAATCATCAAGCCACATTTTGCTAATCTTCTTAATGAAAAACATGAATACTATGACCTTTAAGGTAGGAATTTTTTTTAAAAACCCATTTCAAAAAATGAGCAAAACCTAAACATCTGTCTTTGTGTATATACACACATATACGTACACAAATATACAAACATATGTGTGTATATATATATATATCCTTATGTAGCAAATAGTAATATCAGTAATTATAGTTACAGTTATTATTACAATTGCACAGTAACAAATCCAGCTCATTTTCAATATGTATTATCTAAAGGTTTTGGGGGTGGGGTGGGGTGGCAATGAGGTAGTCAACCTTTTTACATTTTTAAACTTTGCAAAGAAATTTGTACATATTGTTTCATTTGATTATCACAATAGCACTTTGACATAGATACTGTAGGGATTACTATCCTCATTTTTCAAGTGAGGAAACTGAGGAAAAGAGTTGTTGATGACGTACCCATAGTCATTTAGTTAGCATGGGTCAGAGAAAGGATTCATATCCAATTCTCTTCTGACTGAGTGCAATACATTTTGCATCATATTAGGCGGATTCTCAATATTGTCAGTGCTAATTGCTGATGATGAAGAAAATATTTTGAGCCCCTACTATAGTGATTCTGTAAAATCATAATGAAAATTAAACGCACTTAGAAGAAAGGATCCTTCTGATCATGTTATTTACACAAGTGCTTCTTCTTACCTTTGTATTTGTAGGTATTCCTGTTGATGTGGTGGTCAATATTTTTATTAACAGCTTTGGCTCTATACAAGAAACAACAATGGTAAGAATAAAATTTGAATATTCATATCCAGATGAGTCGAACCATTTTCATCTGTGGTTACTTTGTAAAGCTAAGCTTTTTTTTTTAAGTGAAAGGATAATGTGACATTTTAATTAAAAAGAAGGTTAAATTCTTGTTTTGAGTATTTATGGGTTAGGCATCTATTGCTAGAGTAAAATATTCAAAGGCTTTCAAGGTCTTATGAATCATGCATGGTATAGCAAACTCAATTTTCCCCAGAGTCTAATTTACTTCCTAGCTGAAATGTAACAATAATGCTATGAGGTACTGTAGTAGCTTGAAAGAGTTAACATCCCTGAATAGCTAACTGATTACGATCAGAGAAAAATTTATGCCCTGGGAACACTGAAGCTACAATTGTCATGATGTGGTTATATATATTTGCCATAAATCATAGTACAGAAAGATAGGATTTAGAGGCCTAGTGATGCATTTTAAACGAGGATATTACAGTATAAGTCATCTACAGACTAGCAATAGGATAATGGTGTGATTGGAATTATTATTATTATTGCTAATAATTGCAATGAGATGTTTAGCAGGTGTGGTGTATATAATACACCCAGTACAAGAAACTTGATGCATTATATTGCTAATCTGCTGATATTGCTTTGCCTAGGGGGACAAAACAAACAAACAAACAAACAAATGAAAAAAAGTGAGTTAAGTAAAGACAGGCATTATTTTCATGGTCTGTATGTGAACATTTCTAGTGACTGATTTTAAAGGAAACTTTGGAAGGAAGTCCAAAATTCATATCCATACCACAAGGCAGACGAAGACCAAGATACTCCCAAACTCAACACCAATGTGTATTCTCTTTTAAAAGTTTTGCAAATAGAATACGCACTGCTGTTTAGTTTTGGAGTATAACTGTTGGTCAGAAATCAGATGCTGTCTACCTAGCAGACCAGTGGAAGTGGTAAGTAATGCTTTCTTAATTATAAAACTTGTTTGTTCAAACTCAATATATAAGTAGGGAAAATTTGGTGGGCCAATTACCCTGGCTGAAGTGCTTTGATTGGTCTTCTGGCCTCTAGTGTCTCCACTATTTGAGTTTATCCTGTATGACCCTGCCATTTTTTTTTTTGAGATGAGCATAGTGTTGAGTCAGGGTAAACCTTTGATTTTATTTGTATGGAAAACTCCTGGTACATAAACTCCACCCACTCATATAGGTCAGCAACAGTCAGTAACAATTTTAACAAGATGGCTGGAGCACCAAGATATTAAGTGATTTGTCCTCAGTTAAACAGTTAGCATGTTAGAGTTGAAACTTAAACCCAGGACTTCCTAACACTAAGGCTCACCTTCTGTCCATGATGTCTATGATTACTGCTTACTAATAGCTTAATCATCAAAAACCAGTGCTTTGGTTGTTTTACTCAGAAATCTTCTATGGCTTTCAATTGCTAGTATGGTAAAAGGCCAAACTCCTTAATCTAATTTTCATTGTTTTCTACTGTCTGAGCCCAGAATTTCTACTTATGATGGTATTTCTTGAATGTAGATTCTTTTGTAACTTCAGATCTCAGGGTTGATAATACCGCATCATAATCCAGTGGATATCTGCCAGTATCTCAATTGTCACTCAAGTGAAGTTTTATTGTACTACCTAGAGGAAAAAAATGTGTTTAGAATAGAAGAGCATAAAGTGACTTCCTGATAATTATTTAGAAATTCCATTTGTGATTTTTTTAATATTGCAAATATCTCCTACAAATCCTCCATTCTGAAACAGATACAATTTGTTCATTATCCCCTAAACTATACTGTTTACTTTCCTACTCTGTGCCTTTGCTAACATTGCTCCCACAACCTGGAATTCTTTCCCTACATCTCTCCATATTAAGATTCTACCTGTTCCTCCAAATTATTTGGAATTCTATCTCCTCCATAGAGCCTTTTCATCTTGAACTCTAATCTAAATTCACAGATTCTAATCTAAATCAACATTCATTTGGCACTTGAAATTTGTACCAATTTGAGCCATATCTAGTATTGTTACATATAACTCCTACAGTGTTACTTAACATTTCATGTTTCATATATCTTGTTTCCCCAGATAGTTTATTTTTAATTTAATTCAATTTTTCAACTAGTGAGAATTCATTTCCTCTACCTCCAATCCCTCTTAATGATAAAAATAAACAAAATAAAGAAAACCCATGCAACCAATATTCATAGTTAAGCAAAACATTTTCTTGTGTTGACTGTGTCCAAATATACAGACACACATATAGTATATGTACATACATATATGTATACTTACGTGTACGTATATATATACACAAATCTATACACATACATATACATATATACATATTATATATACATACATATATACATATGCATACCCTGAGTCCATTACCATTAATTACCGCTCTCTCAGGAAATGTGGAGAACATTTCAGCTTGAATCCTTTGGAATCATGGTTGGTTATTGTCTTGATCAAAATTCATAAGTCTTTCAAAGTTGTTTATCATTACAATGATACTGATCATAATTCATCAATACTTTCTTATTCTTCTTAACTTTTATATGTAACTCCTCAAAAATGGTCCACCCAGAATGCTCAGAGCTTTCCTCTAGGTCTTTTGGCATTTTATGGGTACCAATGTAGCCCACAGACTACTCATCTCTTATTCTTTGCACTTGGTATATGACTGATTCACTTACTTTTCTGGCCGTAGTTTATTGATGGTATCTTTTATGCTGAATTTTTATCGTGGTTTGGCATTGTTAGTATAAGTAAATTTATGCTTCTTTCCATTGCTCTTGAAAGAACTATAGCTTTGCTTCTTTGCAGATGGAGGGAGGATGGGGAAGGGGAAAGAGAAGGGGAATAGAATAAGCATTTATATAGAACCTGCAATGTGCCAGGCACTGTGCTTAACGATTTGAATACGTATTATTATCACCAGAAGCATACTGATGATTTTTTGTTTCAAAGAGAAGCATGGGATTATTGATAACCTTGGAGTGATTTACAAACATATAATTAATTGATGAGGCAGCTAGGTGGTATGGCAGGTAAAGTGCCACGGCTGGTGTCAAGAAAACCTGAGTTCAAATCCAGCCTCAGACAACAGCAGTATGAGCCTGGGCAAGTCATTTAATGCTGTTTGCCTCAGTTTTCTAATCTATAAAATGAGCTGGAGAAGGAAATGAGAAACTACTCCAGTATCTGTGTCAAGAAAACCCCAAATGAGGTCATGAAAGTTGGACATGACTGAAAAATAACTCAACAACAATAATTAATTGATAGCATCAATTTCCCAAAATCCAATTCAGCCCTTCTCTGTCTCTCATTCAGATTATTGTCCATCTGCAGTATCTAAGATATAGGAAATGAAGAACTGGCTACATATCATAATCAGATAAACATTCTTCACCTGCTTGGTTTTTCTTATATTTTCTTATATAGGTTTAACTCTTTTTCAAGATTGTGGTTCCTATTGAGGAAGCCCTATGCCATCTATGAACAGGAGCTTCAGGACTTCATTATGTATAGGGAATTTCTCTTCCACTTGAACTATATATTAGACACTCTGGAGGCAGTTAGGTGGCATAGTGGATAGAGCTCCAGGCCTGCAGTCATGAAGACTCATCTTCCTGAGTTCAAATCTGGCCTCAATCACTTGCTAGTTGTATGATCCTGGGCAAGTCACTTAACCCTTTTTGCCTCAGTTCCTCATCTGTAAAATGAGCTGGAGAAGGAAATAACAAACCACTATAGTATCTCTGCCCAGAAAACCCCAAATGGGGTTACAAAGAGTCAGAAATGACTGAAAATGACTAAACAAAAATTGAACATTCTATATGATAGTATCAAATACTTCTGGCAGAGATATTTCTCTCTTTTTTATGTCTAACTTGATATTAATAAGCAGAGCATTGTCAAACAATTCTATTATTTCTTCTACCAAAGAATCTCTTCTAAACATAACATAAATGAAAGAAATACTTTAATATGGTGCTTTGCTTTATTGAATCAAATGAATAAAGGCAACAAACAACTGTAAAGGTAGGCTTCTGATTTCTCTGTTACCTTTTAGTCATATGCACTTCTGTGAAGATGTGGTCAGATATAGAATCCCATTTGCGAAAGCCTGTCTTTTCCCTTATCATATGTTCATGAAGGATGGGCTGAATAAAATAAAATAAAATAAAAGAACAAATAACTACAATGATGTGTCGGTGCATAAGTAATGCAAGTTGCCAACTGCAATGGTAACTCAAAGAAGGTAGAGTTTACACTCAATTGGGCAGGAATCAGTGCTGGGTACTTAGTGTTAAATATGTATATAACTACAGCATTGTAGGAATTTTAGAGCTTGTGCTTACACTAGGGAAAATGAAATGAAGATTTTTTTTTGATGTGCCATTTAATTTTGCTAATGTTACAAAAATTGGATTATTTAGATTAGTTGTCTGAAATGACCAAATTAACTAGGTAACTTTCAGATCTCTTTTTCACTTTGTATGGATGTTAAGAGTCAGAATCTAACTCTTCTTATCCCACTTCACCTCATATTCTGCTTTCTACAAGAAACCTTTCCCAGTTCTCTCCTCAGCGCCCCAGTCCCAACACTGTTAGTGTATATATCATTTTTTTTGCTGTTTAAATTATCTTCCCCATTAGAAGCTAACATCCTCAAAGTAGCAGCTAATTTTTGCCCATCTTTGTAAGCTCACTCTTAACACTATATCTGGCACATAGTAAGCTCTTAAATGATTATTGACTGACTGACTCCTAAGGTATTTTTAAAATTTAACTTTTTTGTACCTTCTGAACACTAAATTCTTGAATATAACTTACACATTTTATATACTCCGAGTATATAAAACCTTTTTTGTGAAGGTATTTTTTTGTTTGCTAAATACATTTGAACAGAGTACAAATGCAAAAAAAAAAAGTTGAGACGTGAAGAAAGTATTGGTTCAACACTAATGAACCTATAAGAATTAGATTTTGG